TGGAAGCGTTGGAATCTGTTAGACGGCTATTTGAGGATCACAAATTCAGCAAAACACTACGAAACTTCATAATAAAGACAATGAATTTTGTGAAATAGCCCTAAGATAGGGTGTATCCCTTGTTCTGACTATATTATTTCAATAAGTTGATATAATATTAGCACTTTTAGGCCTACCAAATTGATCCTTAGGAGATGCCGCAAACTCGCCCCGCAATCTGCTGCTTTGGTGATTAATCTCCTTTGCTGCATTACAGGTATCAGTTAAATCTGTGTCAATTGCAAAAGTCTTTAATACATTGATGGCGGCACCTGCACTGCAATTGGCGGTCAGCTCCTTTTCTCCAGCTCTAACAGTCAGACTAGCGGGAGGAACGGACATCGGCAAACTGGGCTCCTCTCGCCTTGGGGGTTTTAACCTCAGGCTAAAATCAAATTCGGCGGAGCCCGACCTCTCTTCCTCAAAGCTAGATGTCACGTGCTCGTTGTCTAAGGTACTTTGGTTTTCGCCTTTATCATAATTATCAACAGTTTCCTCTCCGTCATTATCTCCTTTCACTTTTGTTATTGCCTCTTTTTCTTTATCCTTTATTTTTGGATTTGGTTTGTCTTCCTCTTCTTCATCAAATTCACTCTCTTGCATTGTGATTTCATTTAGCAATAGAGGCGGTAACTCACCCAGCCAGGCATTGATCAGTTCTAGAAATGTAGATAGCCCTTCAATCAGAGCATAATGCTCTTGCAAGAAGTGACGATGAAGAGCATCAAAAGCTGATTTCCTACAATAAAATTAGGGTAAAAGTTCCAATAATGAAGGAAGAGCAGAAATAATTATGTCATTAGCATAGGTGAGATGCCCAAAAAGACTCTTAATTGAAGGGAATTTAATATTTAAAAATTACAATTAAACGATTTTAAAGAAGTTGTTTAACCTTGTTTTCGTAACTTGGTCATATTTGTAGGAAGGCCAAGAGGAACGCAACCAGTTCGGAGTCCATAGTATGCATGATAATTTCCAGTCGGACCGTGGACGTGGTACATTCTCTGACGTTTCGCCGGCATCGTCAGTGAGGCTTGCCAGCGAAAGGAGACTGTAACCATACAAAAGGCCACACCATCCTGGTCTTCATACCACCAACAGTTAATTTTAATTCAGACTGGTTCTTTTAATTACTCAGCAAAACTAGTATGGCCTCTTTACTATATACGATCCAATGCTGGAAATCACGAATACTATGGCATAGGACACAGGACAAGATATATTCGACAAGGTCTCCCTATCACTACGACCAAGTTGCGAAAATGAGGTCGAACCAATACCATGCATCACTTTGTTATTTACTGTCCTTAGTCTAATATGTATGACTTGGATCGGATATTATGAATGACATTTACTGCTGAATTCAATTGAATGTGATTTCCTTAGCAACATATCTCTATGCCACATGATTATCCGAACCATTGACAGCTGTATAGGATTTACGTCTGAAATAGACCATTGATTGGAATAAAAAACGAATCAAATTGAAAAATCTGGAAATTCTTAAAACACATTAAAAACATCCCACAATAATAGTCGATAACCAAAGTAAGTAAAAGGAACATATTTATCCTCTAAAATCATTTTTCATTAAATATTACTATCAGAGACTTGTCCGTAAGCCTATCCCGCAAAATGAAAGATTTATCAAATTGCGGAAATTAATTTAACTGACGTGTCCGGTCCAATGAAACAAAGACTTTTAATTTCGGTTTAGAAGGGGTTAAAAATCTTATTGATTGATGTTAAGTAGTGAAGCTGTATAAAAAGAATGCAAATATTCGATAAACTGAATAAAAAGAATGATAGACTAATAGTACATATTAATATTCAAGGTGTGGAAACATGTTAATCTTATGGTATGCTAAAGAATAAAAGGCGCTCTCTATTCATAAATTAAACAAAAATGGCGCTATTATTTCTCGGCATAAATAATTAGTATAGAACATTAGTTTTTATTCTCATAATTAAAAGTAACCATACTTGATTTATAAAGAATCTTAGTGAATTTAATCGTCGTTTGATTTAGTATACCATATGTTTAGATCATCTAGATATTTAAAGGGCTAGATATACTTGAGTTTCTGGCGGCTCTATATTTCTTGTGTGGAGGTCGAAAGTTTTGTCATATTGAGTTTGACCATGGATTTGTCTGCTAATGAGGTATGCTGAATTACAAAGTTGGGCAAGGATTTTTTTGGGTCATGAGACGGCGTGGGAAGAGCACTTCGTTCAAGTCAGTAATAACGTGGCTTGCTTTTGTAGCACGATAGTGGATTCTACTTCTGCTCATCACTATAAACAAAAGCTATCACAAATAAACAACAGCATTCATATATAGTTGGGACTAATAGCAAAATTAGAGCCACTGAATATGAGGTGAATTAATAGGAAATTCGATAGTAATGAGAAAATTAATGAAAACCCTTTGTTGAAAAGTAGTGATCACCACATAGGAAAGCACACGATGAGAGCAAGACCGAGCGACCCTGATAAAAGTCAGACAACGTATAATGCTGAAATAAATGTGTGGGACTGCTTTAACCTGATAAGAAGAACTTCCACTTCATCATCCATACGAAAAACATGATGATTTGCTAGAATTCTCGTCAAGTTATTCAAGAGCTCTGAATCGTTTTGGCTGGACCAAATCTGACTATCATCAGGCACCGAAAACAGGGCTTGAAAAAAAGAAGACGAAAATGTAAGAAAATAAATAGACAATAAATCACAAATAAGTAATGAAAAGGCTGGAAGGGGACAAAATACATTCCTCAGTGTAAATAAAGCTAGGAATACCCTTACTTGAGTTTATAGGGACTAAAAGCTGAAATGGAAAAATATAAATCAAACTCAAAATAACTAGATTTTTGTATATTATAAATCTTTCCATAGATCCTGATTATAGCAAGAAATTGGTTATATGTGAAGTGGTTACAAATCCTTGGTGAAAAGGCAAACTGGTTATAGTATGGTACTAAGGAAGGAATACATTAAAAAAAGACATTTGGATAACGAGATGATTAACAAATGAAGGCACATAAACAAGTTCGATACGTAATTTTCGAATTATTTTATAGCTATTTAACAGTAACTAGAGGATATTAAGATGTAATAATAATGATACATTAATATTATAATTATAATATGATAGACATACTTTTCTTTATTATAAAAATTGTATACGACAAGAATCACTAGGTCGCTTAAGGCTATGAAAAACCTGATAATTGATATAGCACACTATGAAACAAATAGGTCTAACGATGCCAATATGTTTTCCTTAGCCTTGCCTCCCAAAGAGCTTTCTTATACAATGTGGTCTCATTAGCACCCCAATCAGTATTCGAAATCGACTCGTAAGCGCCAAATGACAACGTCGCATATCTACGACAAATCCGCATGCCAACAGGTCATAGGGCAGAGATGACATTCAGGGCAAGCCTGGCTTCATTCGGAGCATATCAATAATGGGACTAATTTCGATAAATAAATAAATAAATATATATGCACCGTAAGTGTTTAAGACTATAAGTACACCTTTTATATCAAATGGTAAGCTGTTGATGAAACCAGAACGAGATCGAAATATTATTTAATGTTGTATAGATGAGCTTATCGAAAGGCAAGGCTAAGTGAAATTCAATAGCATTGTGAGGCCCTCTATATCAGATTAGGAGGCCTAAGTTGACCTCAGCTCATATAAAATATCTATTTAGATTTGCGAAATCTATTCACTATTTGTATAAAATAAAAGCCAAGAAAAGAAAAAAAAACAAAATTCTATCTAAGCCTCTTAAGGAACTTGTATATGAGATTAACTGAACTCATTAATGGTTTAGAATTGCAACAGAAAATGATAAACGATAAATCTGATTCTAATACATAATACAGATTGTTTTATTATTGAAAGCCCATATTGGTCTTATGCAATAGACGCAAAGAGCGCAGTAAATAAACAAATGTGAAAATGAAGTAAAACATGGGAACGTTACGCAAAATATTAAGTGCTGAACAGTTGATCCCTGTTCGCTCAGTATTAGTGCAGGATGATTCAATTATGTCAGGTAAAGCGTCAGGTGTGGCTTCAAATGAGGTGGTATGTTCAGTAGAACATTTTGTGTAGTTGTCTGGAGAGGTGAACTTGACTTCGCTTAGTTGTCTCTTGTCTCCAACAGGAGAATCCCCAAATAGATGCATCTGAGATTGTCGAAGACGTACGAGTCGAAGCCAGGTATTGCCTATTTGGGGCATGTCAGAAAGGCCCAAGGACACCTTTTTGATGGGACAAAAGTTATCAGTCGAATGGGGTTGAGCTTCAATCGGAGAATCGTGTGGCGAATCGCCTACGTAAATAGGAGGGATGCAAATTAGAAAAGCGATTAGGACGTATGGCTAAAGTGGACTAAATAAGACTTAATAAAATAATCATATTGAAAACGATATGAATAAATAATTTGAAATTAGAGCGTTCTTGAGGATGCTACTTTCTATAAATAGAATGATAGCTTAGCTAATTCACACTAGTCCAAGAAGTTGGAACCTTCAGAAAAATTGAGAATCTAATTTACCATGCCCTATGGATAAGCCCTTTGCATAATTATAGAAATAAAGTCAGTGAAAAAAGATAAATGAATAAACATGAGTTAATCGGAACATCAGGGTAGTGTGCTGATTACGACTGCAGAAAAATCCAGTCATAAATCTAAGGACATTTTCCTTGCGTTTAAAGTGAGACGAGTATGCGAATCCTCTCTCCGCCTTTTTAAGCAAAATTAAAGGTTCTCAAAAAAAATAAGTTTTGAAGTCTAAATAAGGTGACTCGGATAAAAATAAAGATGAACGAGATGAAAGGGAATCATTAATTGACCTCACAGCCAAATAGCTTGCGCCTCAAATAAGACGAAATACCGAAAACGATACGTGAATGCAGAAGCACATTATCCGTCAAGATCCACCATGCTTCAATATGCTGTAACACCTCTAGTCAAGAATGCCGATGATGATCATGAATACTAAAGTCAATTTACAATTATCATTTATTCCTTATCAGAAGGATAAAAATAGAATAAATGTTGACTGTAACCACTAAAAAAAATAAAAAAACATCTCGTGATTTGGTCAATTTCCGCATGTCCATCACATAATAACTGGTGGGTGGTGAGGCCTACCAATTAACCTGACTAAGATAACAAAAAAGAATCCTTTGGAGACAATGTAACCTGGCTACCTGTCGTATTCTTACGTACTATTTACTCTAAAGTACCTATGAAATTGGGCCACAAAAAGGAATAATAGATCTTATTCATATCTAAGTATATATGAAGAACAAGATTGTGTGACTCTTCGTTTAGTCTCAGTCTCCTATAGTTTTATAGTGTTGATTAGATCTCGTATTGGTAACATGGCCGAGGCGTCAGAGAAACAAAGGAAAACGACGGAGGTCTACCCTTCTGTGTCGTGGCTCGGAAGCTGAAGCCGATGCTATAGACATAGAACATTCGTACTATCATAAAAGAAAAACAACCCTCTTCACCATCTTGCCTACCTAACATGAAGAAGCCAACCCGAAAGTTCAGACTCTGTGGTAGGAAATTAAAGGCTAAAAGTATGTGATAGAGATATAGGTAATCAGTGTGTGTGCTTGTGTGCATTTTTCGTACGTGTCCCTTAATGAGAGGGGACTGGTGACATGCTTGACCACGGTGGATACCGGCCAAAGCATACATGAATATCCTAGTACCCTAGGATTAGATGGGAGTGTCAACTTGAAGGATGAGAGGAGACTGCTGCTCGCGAGTTAGGAGGGGCAAAAGGGAAGCGGTGCATTTTCACAGAAACAGTAGACTTAAGCAGAACACAGGACCCCAAGGAATGAGGCATAATGTAGATAAGGATGAGAAAGTGAATAACTGAAGCATGGGCATGAAGCCTAGGGAAAGGAGGATTTCCAAGCAATGGTATTGGCATGGGCACCATATGATCTAAATCTTGGAATACGGTTTAATCGAGGACGGGAATTGAAGGCTATTAGTTAGTCAGATTTCAGATCTCCAGACAGTGATTTTGATATTTATCAGCGATAAAATGGCAATCGGAGTAGGAGTAGGGGGGCTAAATGAAGGTCAGGAGCCCTGAAAACGGCATCTGGTAACGGTGATGAAGATTATTACGCTTCACTAAACCCACTCGTAATGACACACTCTTAGGCGACATTGGAGGAAAGGAGAGCACATAATTGTTCGAATAGGTAGACGGGTCATATGAAATGGGATTGATAGAAATGGATGCAGCACTATAAAGTAAAGAGTGATGCCACAACGATTGAACAGAAAATTAATTAAAGGGAATGCCTTCACTTGCCACCTAGATACGTTGTAATTCTGTGCTGATGATGGCACATCTCATTAATGATGATGGCGAAATGTTTGTGATTGTACAAAGTCAATAGTCTGATGCTGGAAATCTCGAATACTATGGCAGAGGGCACAGGACTATGTATACTCAACAAGGTCTCTCTGACGCTCCGACCAAGTTGCTAAAACGAGGTCGAACCAACATTAAAAAGAAATAATAGTCTTCCCTGCCCATTCACAAAAACAGCATGCTTCAGTGTCACATACAACTCGTTCATTTTCAACAGGTCTATTAGCGGAGATTATTAGCTTATAATCGCTTCCTTCCATTGAAATGCGTCATTAAATACTCAAGAAAGAATTGAAGGTGTGAAGACCAAGATGATGTCTGGACTTTACTTCACGAAAACGTCTATAGACAATTCCGTACCGTGAGCCATCTATCTCCTGTTTCTGTCACATCTCTCGTGCTTTTATGACTAATCCCAAGCCTGCGACTTTCCTATTGCACAGTCTCATGCATGCCAATTACTTGGTTAATTTAGGCTTACAGCTTATGGCTCCTGATTTGCGATTATCCTTCGATGGTCTTCTTGCTATCCTTTTCCCTCACGTTCAAAATATTTCTTGCTATTCCCAGACCTCCTCCGAGATTGCGTAAGCAATATGCAAATTCTTTGCTGATCCTGCCTTCAAAGTCTCTTGTTCAATGGATTTATTTCAGTCAGAATATCGATGAGCCCTTAAATATTGCCTTTTATTGTATTTTAATAATATACAGCCAGCATTTCTGTTGATTTCCTGTCGATTTCTTGTCCTGTCCGTGAAATTTGTTCTCCTATTTTGGATCTTTGCGTATCCAGGTTTCTGCAGTCTTTGTATTTCCTTGAT